TTGTTTATATTATGTGTTTATTCCCATTAGAGCTTATAATGACATGTTGAGTTTATGTTTGTGCTATTGGAATTTTTATTTATGAATTTATGCTTAGATGTTATTGGTGTCATCGTCTCAAAGAGAGGTTATCATCAATGGAACAAGTGATGAGTTCAAACGTTTTAGGGTGCGCCAAAATTGTGTAACAACATTATGCGGAGTTTTAGGTGGCAGGTGTGCGCCAATATTGTGTAACAATGTTTAAAATTTAGAAAATATGAAAATATTAAAGAGAAAAGAAAAGATTTGATTCTTTTGGAAATAAGGTTAAAAAAGAATCAAACTATTTATGATAATTGGGTTTCATACTGCAGCCTACAGGTGTCATGTTTTTGAACTTTTAAATAAAAACTCCTATAGAGTGACGTCAAAGAAATGTTAACTATAAACGGAACCTAGAAGTTAGATGTCATGGAATGAAGATTGCAAAGCTACACCGGACAGAGACCAATTGTATAGATAAGGATAGCAGTAAAAACAATAACTTTGCGTCTGTAATTGTGTACAGATTCCTATAGACTGTAACAATGTTCAATCTTGTGTACAAATTCAATAAAATCACATTAAGGCTTGGAAAAAATAAGATAAGGATAGCAAGCTGAACAAATAAAAACAGTAACTTTGCACATTCCATTTTGTAAAAACATCAACTTGCTTCTACTTGATTCTCTTTGTGTGTGTAATTGAGTATACCTGCCTAACTAAAGCAAAATTGGACATAAAAGTACATCAAGTATAGCACAGAATGTTGTTATTATTGATTAATAACAAAATTAAATGAGGCGAGTAAAATTTAAAAAAAAAAACAATTAAAATAATGTAAAACGTAGTTCAATTCAACATATGTTGATTATATATATATATAATGCAGCCTAAATGCTAATGAATTTGACAAAAAATTGCATTACCAATAGTGATACTAATTTAATTCGACAAATAATTATATACTCCGTAAGATATTGTTAATAAAAAAATTACATTGTTTCAGAGACGATCATGTTTTTTACCCGTGCGATTTATCATCAATGGAACAAATGGACCATGTTGATACACATGTCGGTTAAATTTTAAACTATTAATACTGCCATAAGGGATTAATAATTAAAACATAGTAAATTCCGGATTAACTTAAGGATAGATGTTGATTTATGCTTCAAATTAAAAAAATAAAGATTTATACTCCTATTAGCGGTTGACCTAATTAAAATGGGATTTACAGATTACCGAGCATGCATTTTGTTGAGGTTTATTCCCTCAACCCGCAGGTCCAACACGTAACCTGTGGGTTTCGAATGAGTAAGGGACAAATAAGATCAAAAGACAACAGGGAAATGGGCCAGCAATGGTACTTTTATCACTCGAATGATTACAAGCCAAAGGGCCGAATGTACTATGCTATGCTATGAGCTGTTATTGCTGCTATAATGCTAGAGAGTCAAACTGCGAACCCTTTACAATGAAATAAATGCGACTATTTATACTACTCATGAGTGGTTGGGGGTGCTGACGTGGTTGGCTGTGGGTGACATGATCCCAACCACAAAATATCCCGCATTTAATGCGCTTCCCGCCAGGATCTTGGTTTCCCGCCATGACGTGGGGACGTTCGTCCCTCAGGGCTGGACCCAATCTTCTGGTGGCAGCCTGATCCCTTGGGTAGAAACCATGAGATGTGCGCCCCCTGGCCCTTGGGGCCCTGAAGCTTTTTCATGCTGGACTACGTACGTCCCCTGGTCCTTGGGGCCCTGAAGCTTGATCGACGTACGTCCCTTGGCCCTTGGGGCTCTGAAGCTTGGGTATGCTGGACTACGTACGTCCCTAGTCCTTGGGCCCTGAGGCTGGGATACGCTGGACTACGTACGTTCCCTGGCCCTGACCTTCCTTTTGGGCCCGTAGCCAGATGCTCTTGGGTGGTCCTTAGGGGTTGATGGACCGGCCCTTGTTGGGCCATTAACCCAACACATTTATATAAGAGAATCTCATTGGCGTAGTTTACAATCTATATAGAAAAATCACTTATCTAACAATAGTAGTTGATGATTACCTTGAAACGTTGATCGGCCAACATAGAAGCCCCCTGAGAGCTCGAAAACAATGATCAGTTGTGGTGGAGTTTGTGGATATGTGGTGGCGTGTTTCGAAAGTTGTGTTGGTGGTTTCGTTGTAGATATGCGTAAGCTTTTGGAGTTAGCGACGAAGAAGAAAGATGGAAGGAATATGAGGTGAATTGGAGATGCTGAGTTTTTGATCGGCGTAAGGTTTTGCAAGAAGCGGCGAAAGAAAAATGGGGGGGGGGGGGGGGGGGGGTCTGGACTGATTGCCGATGGGGGGTTTGTGTTTTTGGAAATTGTGTTCTGGGCTGTTGGGCTAGGATTGGATTAGGCTAGGTTCTGTGCTAAATAAACTTCACACTTTCCTTTTTGGATAGGTCCAAAATAAACTTCACACTTCTATTTTTGGCAAGTTTTTAACACGAAAGTTACACCTATACCGTTACTTTATTACCTACTTTACACCAACTTTCTCTCTCCGAAAGTTGTATTTACAAGGAAAGTACACCCTACAGATGGGAAAAGTACCAATGTAACAACTAATGTTGTATTTAAGGAAGTATTCCAAAATTTGTAAGACATTTTGTTTTCAAATTGTTGTTAATCCAAAATTTTCAAGGAACGTTGTTTTTTTATTTATATATTTATGTTGGTAATATTACACATACTACTCTGATATATGCATCTAAAGTTAATTTATGTATTAATTTTATATTTCAAATTATTAATTTTTATCTTGTTCTATATATATTGTTGCATATGCTTATGATAAAGAATAAATTAGTTTGCCGCTATTCCGTTCGCGGTAAAAAATCAGAACGTTGTCTACACTCTGCCCGACGGATATGGTCGGAATACTTTCTTCTGCTGCTCTACCCACCCCTTACGGCAGCAGACGCACGTTGGTAGCCTCTGGCGGAATCAAATTCAGCGGCATCTCTCAGCGGGAAGTATCACTAGCGTGCATTTCACCGGACTCGGCAACCGGTAAATCGGTAACTGCAGCATTTCTGGCTGTGGCGGCGTCCTCCGTAATATTAGGCTGCTGGGCTCATGCAGCGGCGCTTACGGAGACCCTACAGCCGGAGATGGAGACGCTGTCTAATATACCGCTGACTCTATCGAGCGAATGCGAGAGCGAGGATTGCGCGAAAAAAGATAGGATTCAACGGCCCAGATCTAGGCAGGCCGAAGGCTGCACCGTCAAATGTCTCAACACTTGCATCCGAGGGGGATACGGATCTCCAGGCGAAGGTCCGCTCAATGTCAGAAGGTAAATTGAAGGTCTGCTCCAGTATACCTAGCAAATTCATAATGCTATGAGATAATTTGGTGTTGTCCTATTTTGTCTGCAGGCCTTTAGTAGTGTTCAAGCAAGGGTTCCGTAGTCGGCATTACTGGTATTCATCTTCTATTTTCATTTGGCAATTATCTTGTTCTTTTTACCTCTCTAGAAAGTTGAAGGGTAAGACTGTAGGAGACATTGAGAAATGGAAAGAATATGAAGTTGTTGGAATGAAGTGGCAAGAATTTAGAGTTTTTGGAATAAAGTGGCAAGAATATAAAGTTTTTGGAATATCTTTGGGTGGGTGGGTGTGGCAGGTTTCTGGTACAGGAATTGGGAGAGTTTGGTCTCCTTGCAAAATAGACATGATAGGTTAATGGTAAATAATGGGGTGTGTGCTTCCATGGATCATCCCTTGGTTCTACTTGATCCCTTTCGAAATGAAATAGAAGTTTACTTCAGTCATTGACATATTCTAGGAACCATGCCTATTATTTACCACTGTTAGATACAGTATTAGAAGGTAGAGTACGTGCTAACATGTAATTGGACTTAGGAGGGGAGCGTAGTTAATTTTCAGTGAACAAGCATATCCTTTATACTGATCCAGGCTCAAGTACAATGTGAATGGTTTGGTTCAAAAGCAAGAATGAAATGATTTTGGATGATGTGGTGTTTTAGGTTCAACTGTATTTTGTGAGACAAAACGATAATTTGTGAAGACAAAATGCCCAAAAGTAGTGGAAATATTGCATTCCTGAAATAATATTACTACGTATTTTCTAAGCCTAAGTAGTCCTATTCATTCTTAAGAATGGTAAGCTTAGTGTTTCCTTATTCCATGGATGGTCTTTGTATTCCCCTTCTTGCAGTTTGGTGGAATGCTCCGATATATGCAATTTGATTAGAGATGGTGAAGATGGACCATAGTACAGATTCTCTATGTCATATCCAGTTTATATGCTTACCTCCGCAGTCACTACCTCCGCTGATGGTGAAGGGATCTCATGTCCATGTGATTATGATGATGTAGCCGTTATTTGTATCATAGACTGAATCGCCGAGGAATATTATGCATGGCTCAATTGTATATACGAACATGGAGTGATGGTGGTTATCCATTTAGGGTTTGAGGAGGATTTCTTTGTTACAACTATGTATTTAACTCATTTATTGTTCAGTTCTTAATAAGTCTACTTGAATTACTATTTTTGAATTCATGCCAGAATTTTTTCTCAAGGTCCTCGCTTAGTCTCACTCAGACTATAATTTGATTTGGTTTTATTTTCAATTTTTATCTCTTTATGAAGTATTGTTCTCCTTGGTCTTCTCCATCAGCCCCCCTCTTTTCACCGTCAATCACACGCTGAGTCTATCCAATCATGCCACTGAAAGTCATAATCATCGCCAAAATCACATAGGTGTTCTAATTGAAAGTGGAAATGAAGATCAAACAAGTTGTTCTTTGCTTATACTTGTCCATCATAGTCCTCTACCTTGCTGGATTCAATCTCAAGAAGCACATATTAGCTTATTGGGGAGCGATTCTAGCAGTGAATATGACTTTTGGTAGCAAGGACGGGCATATTGGGGCAGCGGGCTAGGTTTGACTGAAACATGAGTTTTCCAAAAACATTAACCCATCATCTAATCTGCAAAGAAAACTTCTTGAGAACAAGCAGTTTAAATAACAATTACTGCCAAACACCCCTTAAACATATGGAAGATCAGACTACCCCACTTACTTGTTTAGACTAAACACACAAGACACTCAGTTGCAGGCTTTCAGTTACATAATCTACAGCTCTATTACACCATCGGAACATTCATGTCACATCTTGCTAGTTGTAGAACCTACAGAATCCAAGTCTATCACTGGTGGATCCCCATTCTTGATCACTGTACTAGGTTGTCTTTCCACAACCCAGTCATCCATGGGGTCCACCTCCTCATCTGACAAGTCATTGCTCTCATCTGCTCTGAAATTTTGCAAGTGCATATTATAATGGACAAAAACCAGATCCCTCAGCCTCACTTGTTCTGTCTTTTTTCTTCCTTGTGTGAGTAAGGCTTCTGCCAATGTCCTCTTTAGGTTATACTTTGAGGCACCATTACATGTCTGACTCAGGATCCGGATAGCAAGCCTTTGTAATTCCGGGCATTGCCTTCCATACTTTGACCACCAAAGTGCTGCAAGCCACAGTTTATTAGTATTAATCTCTAGGTTATAGAGCTTGTTTGATATGCAGATCTTGGAGAGGATGGAGGGTAGGAATAATTACTGTTTAACGGTTTAACCGATTTATTTTATGTTAGCCAGGCTATAATAATTACTTGATTTGTTAAATCATTTATTTTTATGTATTTTTTCTTCTTAAATTTCTTTTGTGTCAGAAATCAGAATACACTAACAATAAAGTAAACATCACCTCTGCCCTTCAATCCCCTCCGAGTTACCCTCCACAAACAAGGGAGAAAAGAGATAACAACTGATTATATGCCATGAAGGGCAAAAATGCCAAAAGTTACTCATCAGTGGGGAGCTAGGGAGGGGTTCCTAGCTATTGTATAAGTATAAATAATTATAAGCTATAAAATATTGCTTTAAACGAACCTTTACCCCACCGCCAAAAATGTCATCACGTGAAGTCGAAATATGATAATAATATCACATAAATACCCCTACTGCTTTTTATTATGATTTTTTATTCATCCCAAAAATCACCAAATAAGAGTCAGTAGCGTATTCAGAATACAAGACCTCAGTAAAAAAGGAAATTCAGAAAGCATCCCAACACACAACAGTGGGAGCTAGCAAGATAAGTTCTAGCAAACAGCCCAACACAGCCGACCTCACACAAGGAAACCTACAATCTTAATTTTTTAAAGTATTTCAATACCATTTTTGCCTTTTGCTGCAATATAATCATCTTTAAGATTTGATGTGTGATGCAATAAGAGAATCATAGATTATGTTCTGTTTGACTAGACGTTGACCAAAACTTTTGTCAGAAATGTGGAGTTCAATTCCATGTTTGACTTGGTGCTAAGAAGTTTGCAAGTAAGCATTGTTATTTTCCTCTCCAAGTCGTGGAACCCCACCTACCAAAGTCACTAGTAGAAGATTTAAAGGCTAAAGCATTAACAAATGTTTGCAAAAAGTATTTTCGGAGTTCAGATTGATTTAAATCAGAAAGTTTAGTTTCACTATGTTTGAACACACAAAACATTTATTTACCTACAAGAACAATATGAAAACTGAGTAACCAAAACAAACAAACAAACAAATAAATACAGTTAAAAGTTGAAAACCTGGATCTGTGTTTTCCTGCTGAGCATCCTTACTGCCTACACCAAACAGGCCTTTGCCCATCCTGTACTGCTCGATCTGCATCATGATCAAATCCTGAACGCCTGAATCTGCTGTCATATAGACAATGCAGCAACAGAGTCCACAAGAAACTTCTGCATCAGCATAGAAATCGCTCGAATAGAAAATACTAGGGTTCAAGTAGTACCCCGCAGCATGGAGAGGGCTATGAAGGTGCTTATTCCATATCTCATCTATTGCTTCCCAGAATCTCGCATATTGGGATTTCTTGTTCTTGAATTCTGACCTTATCGTCTCTTTAGCCTGGTCTATAGTGTCATATATTGATCCAACTTGTGGCTTATTACTACTGTTTATCAGCTTCAAAACGTTCACAAGTGGGATAGTGGCCTTCAAGACCATTAACGCCCCTTCCCAAAAATTCTTATCTCCCACCAGGTCAACAACCCTTTGGCCTTCACTGGTTTTAGCACACTCTAAGGTTTTCCAAATCGATGAGAGAAACATCCTTTGCAAGTTTCCCTTCTCCATGACCATGTTCTCTAGTGTGAGGAAAGGCACAATCGAACTTATCTTGGAAGGCTTCATTAGCTCATCAACATTTGGACAAAAATCTCTCACTAGTCTTAGGACACTGTCTTGGCTGTAAACAAATTGGGTTATACTTTTTGCTTTAACCAATATCTCCTTTACATCTTTCATCATCTCGAGTTTCCTCAACATGAGCTCTATGCAATGCGAAGCACTCACTGTCCAAAAAACCTTCTTACATTTCTGATTTACCCTTTTGACCACATCCTCCATGAAAGAAGATGTTGAGTATATAACTATTTGAACAAGATTATCAACCCCGACCTCCTCAATGACCTTTCTCAGAAAAGCTTCCATTTTAACCACGTCATTAACTATTGATGAAATATCAGCGCATTGATGAAAAATTGTGCCATTTGGACAATCCACTAAGATAATAAGAAGTTTCCTGCCCTCCGAGTTCACCCATCCGTCTAGCAATATGCTGCACCCTGTGGTTGCCCATACATTCCTGATGTTCGAAGTGTAAATTTGCATCTCTTTCAATGCTTCCAGTAGGACCCGTCCCTTCAGTTCATGACAAGTGGGAATCTCCACAGACCCATTGATGGATTTTATCATCTTCCGGAAGCTAGGCAACTTTAAAACCTCAAAGTCAACTCCTGTCTCATAAAAGAACCTGCCGATGCATTTTTGGGCTTCGTTTAGTGCTGGGTTCACTTGTCCGATTGGAAAGGCTGAACCTTTATCACTATTTTCAAATGTGAAGTGCATTTCTGGAAACAGGTTGATGGAAGTTCCACTGCAGGGTGTTTGGATGCTTTCTTCTTTATCAATCTTGGAGGGACTGTCATGACGGCTCCTCTTCAAAGGAAGGTTTGGAAGGTTGAGCTCCTCGAAATCCTTTATTACGTTCACGAATCTCTTTTCTAGTAACTTACTCTTAGCATTTCCCTCACTCCTACGGGGACTTCTGGACAAGGAATAACATCTCCACGAATACCACCCAAATGGCATTTAAGACGAGTGAGGTTACTTACAACTTTTCTGCAATAGTTGCATTGGTATTTCCCATTCTGTTGATCCACAAGGGTGCCAAAATCGCGGGCTTCAGTAGACATTGTCAGTGTTTGATCCTGTTATGTAAGTGACAAATGATCATAACATCGTTCTAATTAAGAAAATTTTCCTTTCCTTCGTCAAGACATCTATCTTGATGCAATAGTAATCATATTCATGCATAACTCAACATAAAAATAAAAATAAATACCAAAGACTATTGAAAGGGGTAAATTGAAAGGCTTCATCATGAAACATAATCTTGAAAATTAATACGGAGTAGAAAATAGGAGACACTTAATGGCTTGTTTTGTGCGAGTGTTTTGAAGGGGAAGAAAGGGGAAAGGTGATATTTATTTTTTAAATAACTTCTACATTTAAGAGGTTGGTAGTAAAATGAAGATAAATTAGAATATAGAGATAGACAATGTAACTAGCACCTAGATATATAACTAGTAAATCAGAATAAAATATAGTGACATGAAAATAAACTGTCCCTGCACTTTCTTTTGGGATTCCCAAATCATATCAGCCCTAAAAGTGCACATTTTCCATATGAAAAATTAACAATGTCCCTTTCAGTTTTAAGAACTTGACTTATTTGGTTGTCTTAAATTTTTTTATCACTTTCCGTTTGAGTAACTAATTGCCTGTTTCTTACTCCGTAATATTTATGCCTTAACCTCATCTAGTCATCTAAACAAACCTTAAACAACCATTTTTTACTTTTAAGGGACTTAGAGAATACAATAAAAATTAGTCATGAACTGAGAAAATTATCAGACGGTTCAACATTCCTTCATGATCTCCAAAAATAAACCGAGGAAATTATCACTCATGCAGATGTTTGCCCTACTCACTCATACAATCAGATATCAACATTCTAAAATCTGAAGCTGGAAAGTCATAAATCTAGAGAATGAACTAACTAAACATACTGAGATTAAGAGCCCGTTTGGTAACATTCAAATTGGCTGAATTGGCTGATTCTGCTGAAATTTATGATGTTCTGGCTGAAGTGGCTGTATTGGCTGATTTTGCTGATTTATGAAAAAATTATGTTTAAAATATTTGTTATTAATAAATTAAACAAAAAATTATATGAAAAAATAGCAAAAATGATCCTCTACCGTAACTTCAGCCAATACAGCCATAAACGTAACTCTAACTTTACTTTTTCAGCTTATTACAAAATTCAACGCGCGAAATCAAAAGTTAAGTGTTTGGTGAAAAAACTGGCTGATAAGCCTGATAAGCCGAAAAAAGGGGTCACCAAACGGGCTCTAAGGCGTACATATACTTGTATGAAACATAGATAAAACATAGATAAGAATTGATTTTTTTTAAAGAACATGATAGAATGTTGACTGATGGGGTCTTTACCGAGTCACCTTAGCTTGAAGAAACATTAGCCATTCTTCTTCTTGTTCTGTATGAGACGATGATTGAAGAAGATGGTGATCAGCTCTGATGCAGAGACTAGAGATAGACGGGGTGAGATGATGAGAGAAAAAAACGGCTGCAGAAACAAGTTTTTGCTGTCTCAATCTCGACACTCCGCTGTCAGTGACCCTTATAAAACGTTTCTTTTGACAGAATAATTTAGGAAAATGGAAATTAATAATCACCTTTTGGCGGTCTTTCTTATGGTAGTATCACCTTTTCATTATTCATGAATAATTCAACCTTTGTATCTGCTGTTTCAAGTTATTTTTTTATCTTTGTAAGACATTATACCATAATTTTCACCTTATGATCACATAATGTTTTGCAAAGATAAGAAAATAACTTGAAAAAACAGGCCATAAATCGGTCAGGAACCGGTGAATGAAGATGGGGTGAAAAGGTTGAATTATTCATAAATAATGAAAATGTGGGACTATTGTATGAAGACCGCTAAAAGGTTGAATTATTAGTTTCCATTTTCCCAAAAACTTTTTACCACTTGAGATCCTAACTCAAAGACTTGCTTATATGGTCAAAACTCAAAGACACTAAGGGTCCGTTTGTTTTTTGGAGGTTTCAAGCCAAACAGAGCGGTTTGCTTTGTAAAAAGTTGGCGGTTTGGCTAAACCTGCCATTATCCAAATAGGGCCTTATGCTATGCTTAGAATAGACTCATGCGTTTAGACCCTTAATTTTTTCTTTATAATCGGTGGCACCTTATCTTACTTTAATAGTAAGGAAAAGACCCCAAATCCATACTCTGAATTTCATTTTTCCTAGCTGCATCAATTATCTATATTGATTTCTGAATTCAATCGGTAGTAATTTATACCATGTTTTAACATATTGAATCTTTTATTTTCCCATTACAAGATTTTTTAGTTCAACTATTTCATCTCAATCAGTAATATTCAATTTATCGTGTGGCTAGAATTTAACATAGAATATGTGATAAATTTGAACATTTTAATATAACTGATTTTATAAGTTTTCAATCACATGTATTCATATGATGCTCCAATTTTATAAGTGGTGAACATGTAGTCTATGTTTACTTCAAGTTTTCTTAACCCTTATGATGTACTAACATTGGCGTTTATATTGTGACTAAGAATTATTTTACTATTTACTTTTTGAAGTGTCCATTTGGAATTGTAGTGATTTTCTAAAAGTATGGCTCATCAGACTTTATTATTATTCATATAATATATATTCACATGCAGAATAGGGGTTTAAATAGCATTGTAATTGGAATAAATAATATTTTCTTTTAGATAGAACTAATAAGTTTTGTACCTATTAAATCAAATCCAAACAAATTCTTTTAAGTTGAAACTAAGTATTGCCATTTGCATTTCTACTTTCTACATATCACCTTCTCATATGTCATATCCAAGCGAGTTAATTAACTATGATTTAGGTGTTGGATCAGTTGTTCACATTTAAATGTGTAGATCTCTTATTTTGCTATTGTGGAACACCTCTTAAATGTGTTTGCTAAAAGTACATTCTCAAGTTTCTTAATTTTTTTTTCAATCTTCAGAGTTTATACATAGAATGGGAAAGAAAACTGAACCAATTACTTCCTAGATGTTTTCCTAATATGTGCTTATTGACTGAAAATATGAAGCATTCAATTAGGAGCACTTATATACATTCTTTATTAAGTTCTTTAACCTAATATCGTTACTCCTTGAATTTGAGCATAGATAACAAATGAATAGACCGTTCAAAAATGATTTAATTAATGCCAAAACCAAGTTAAATGACCAAATCCAATAATTGAACTTATAACTTTCAGCTAAATCTAGTTTGAGTATAAAGTTTAGTTTAATTAAAAATTCAAAATCACAATTCCATCCAGGGCAACTAGATCACCCATAGTAATGTAGAATACGTAGTATATGTAGAAGAAAATCTATTATGATTGTTGCTTCCAACTTTAATGAATGTATTATACATTACTAAGATTTAATCATCCATAACGCCTTAAGTAGCTTGACAATTAGTAAGCTTTTACTAATAAAAACTAATTGGTCACAGCTTATTCTTTTTTTGCCTTTTTGAAAGAGTTTGAAAGTTGGTTTTATTGTTTATCTTGAAATTGGAAGAGATATGAGGTGGTTTGGTCAGGAGACTGGCCCAAGGGTCACGGGGATCGGTACTGGCTTGTTATGTTTGGACTCGAAGCCAACCAGTCCCAAGTCCCATTCGGTCCATTTTTTTGACATTTCAACCATCGAAAGTATTTTAAAATGGGATAAGGGTCAGATAGGGTCTCAAACTTGAAAAAAAAAATGTCAAATAAGACCATATTTAGGATGCTCTGTCCGGCCGACGCTATTTGGGGCGTTTCCCGGTGAAATTTTTTGATGATTTTTTTGAGAATCTTATTCATTAAGTCTAGTTTACTCATATCAAATTTGAACTAAAACTTCAATCGAGGAGGCATACAAATGAATTATTGAAGTTTATTGCGCATTTAAAAGAGCAGTTATCTTCAAGAATTCATTTGAATGACTTCCCGATTGAAGTTTTAGTTCAAATTTGATATGAATAAACTAGACTTAATGAATAAGATTCTCAAAAAAAATCATCAAAAAATTCCACCGGGAATCGTCCCAAATGGCGTCGGCCGGACATAGCATCCTAAATATGGCCTTATTTGACTTTTTTTCCAAGTTCGAGGCCCTATCTGACCCTTATCCCTTTTAAAATTAAAGAATTGTAAGTGCAATTAAAAGCTGAAAAGTGATTGGTAGGGGCTGGGGTGGATTTAAAAAAAGTTACAAAAAAATGGGATCACAACTGACTCAGAATCAGAAATAGAGGCCTCGATCCCTATTGCCCTACTGCTCCCAAGGACAGCTGGGTCCGGGACAAGAACTTTAGACACATTTTTGTTCACAAATTTTATATTAATAATATAAAACTTTGAAAATAAATAGATAAAACTTGGAAAATAAATTGTTAAATAGACTAATATCAAAAGCAATTTAACTAATCAAATTTTATACTTGAATTAAACTTTTGAGTAACCTTTAATCTATGTTTAAGTACAATTATTCTTAAGAGGGGTGCTACTTGTACACATATAAATTTGTTGTACACATTGCATGGTTGTCTATGTACACATGAGCTTCTTTGTACACGTTTGTTGTAGACACTATCTAATTGTATGTGTACACAAAGTGTGTACAATAAATGTTTACAAGGGTTGGTGGGTGTAGTTCAATAGATGACCATCCACCCCTAAGTCTCTCCTTTGTGAGAGGGGAGGTCTTGGGTTCAATTCCCATCAAGGGGAGATGAGGGAGATCTTGCTCCCAATGATTCTTCCTACCTTCACGGAGTTGCTCAGCGGCTGATAAGAGAGAGGATGGTAATGAAGGTAGCGGGTTCGTGTGGTTGGAGGAGCAGCCTGAAAGGTGATATAAGTCCTGCTGGATTCGTCCTTTGGAGCAGTACTGATGAGCCTGACTGTGATCAGATTCAGATTTAACAATATAGGTGCTTTGGAGGGTAGTTCAGCTTAACCCCGCACCTCAAATGTTTACAAATGACTTTTTCCTTGTTAAACTTTAACCTGAGTTTCTATTTACCCCTGACAGTCGCAGACGCCAGATGTTAGTCTCCGGTGGAATCTAAGTCAACGGGCATCTCTCAACTGGGAAGTATCACTTGCGTGCATTGATCTAATTCGGCCATCAACAGCGCCAACAAATCGGTAATTGCGCTATTTCTTGCTGCCGGTGGCGTCAATTGTAATATTGGGCGGTTGGAAATAATTTTGTGTTGTCCTATTTCGAATGCAGGCCTTTAGTAGTGTTCAAGCAAGGGATCCAGATGCGGCATTACTGGTATTTCATCTTCTATTTGCAATTGGAAATTATCTTGTTCTTTTTATTTATCTAGAAAGTTGAAGGATAAGACTATAAGATAATGAGAATTGAGAAATGGTAAGAATATTGAGTTGTTGGAATGAATTGGCAAGAATATGGAGTTTTTGGAATACAGTGGCAAGAGTATGGTTTTTTTGGATTAAATCCTTTTTTGGGGGCAAGGTTTCTGGTTACAGAAATTGGGAGATTCGTCTCCTTGCAGAATAGACTGGATAAGTCAATGGTAAATAATGGGGTGGGTGATCCCCTGGATTATCCCCATTGTTCTACATGAGCCCTTTCAAATTGAAATAGAAGGTTACTTTAGGCAAATTCTATGAACCATACCTATTATTTAGCGACCTCTATTAGATACAGTATTCTAAGGATAGCTAGAAAGTAGACTATGTTGTAATATGTAATTGGACTTAGGTGGGCAGCGTAGTTAAATTTCAGTGTAGAAGTGTAGAACAAGCATATGAGAATGAAATGATGTGGTGATTTAGGTTCAAGAATCTATAAAGACAAAATGCCAAAAGGTTGCTGAAATGTTTGCATTTGAAATTATATCTCCTTCTAACCTCTAAGTAGTCCAGTTCATTCTTAAGAAAGGTTAGTATAGTTCTTTCTTATACTATGGATGGTCTTTGTAGTTTGTATTTCCCTTCGTGCAGTTTGGTGGAATGCTCCGACATATGCAATTTGATTAGAGATGGTGAAGATTAACGGTAATACACATTCTCTATGTCATGTCCATTTTGTATATGCTACCCCTGCAGTCACTACCTCTACCAGTGGTGAAGGGATCTCATGTCCATGCTACTACGATGAGATAGATAGCTTGTAGGTGTAGCATGGACTGAATAGGCGAGGGATGTTATGCACGGTTCAAATGTATATATTAATATATGAACATGGAGTGATTGTGTTTATCTATTTAGGGTTTGAGGATGATATCTTTGTTACAACTATGTATCTAACCAATGTATCTTAACAAGTCTAGTCAAATTACTATTTTTGAGTTCATGCCAGAAATAATTCTCAGAAGTACCCAACTTAACTTAATGTCAGACTTAACTTTATTTGGTTTTCATTTTCAAGTTTAATTTCATTACGGAGTTTTGCCCTCCTTCATTTTCTCCATTTGTCCCCATCTGTTCACTGTGAATCACAAGCTGAGTCTATCCAAGCCTGCCTATCCTAGTCCATCCTAGTCCTCTTCCTCAATGTATTCAATCTCAAGAAACACATATTAGCTTATTGAAGAGTGATTATAGCAGTGGATATGACTGAAACACGGACATGCAAATTGGAGTAAAAGAAATTCCTCATAGTTGGAGTAAGAAATAGACATAATTTGCATCATCATCATTATCATTCATCATCATTACTCCAGTGGCACAAAGGCTCCCACCGACGATGGGGGATTGGATGTACGCGGCCTTACCCCTGTACTAAAAAACATAGAGACTGTTTCCGGATGACCTGTGATGAAAATCGGGTCGAAAATTGCATGAATTGACGGTTGCTTCATAACAAAAAAGTACAGACAATTTATTGAGCAATTTTGCTTTATTCCATCATATTCACAAGCCAAAAACATTGAATCTTTGGCTCCATTGCAAATGAGAGAAATAAATAGACATAATTCACAAATAGTGTTAATTATATTTCACTCCCAATGAAGGACCTCTCGGCCCTAATAAAATGATAAAAATCAATTTATTTGATAGGCACATTTATCTCTGTCAGCACGCACTCTGTCATGTTCACTATGAATCCACAGCGCCACTCATCCACTTGGTGGAAGTGGGATAAAACATTAGGCAGCATTTTGCAAATTTTCGATTGGGGCAGCAGGCTAGGTTTGACTAAAATGCACTACGTATGGTTTTAGAAAACACCAACCCATCATCTAATCTGCAAAGAAAACTACACCCGCACGGGTAGCTCAGTTGGTCAAGTGGTGGGAAAATTGGACCAAGTGACCAAGGTTCAAAACCCGCAACGGCCGTGTGGAGGTTACAGAACCTGAAATAAGGCTGGACCTCTGGTGCGCACGTGTATAATGCCTACCGCCGCTTTGCTGACTGAGTCACCGTGATTAATCTCCCTAACATCCTGTCGGGTCGGGGTGGGGGCCTTGGGGTTGGGCATTCAACCTTTTGGACCAAATGCAAAGAAAACCACTTGAGAGCAAGCAGTTTAATTAACAATTACTGCCAAACACCACTTTAAATATATGGAGGATCAGAAAACTCCCCAAGAACAGTTTGTTTTTCATCGGTTTGGTTGAAATGTCATTTCAATCTGCTGCACTTTGCAGCATTTTCAGATAAAATTGAGTTCAGCATTTGGATAAATGCTTATTGCCAAACATCCCCAACACACAAAAGTCAGTCAGTTGCAGTTACATAATCTACTGCTTTATTACAGCACCAGAACATTCATGTCACACCTTGATCTTGCTAGTAGCAGACTCTTCAGATTCCAAGTCTATCACCGGCGGCTCGCCATTCTTGTTCACTGTACTAGGTTGTCTTCTCACAATCCAATCATCCATGGGGTCCACCTCCACATTTGACAAGTCATTGTTCTCATCTGCCCAGAAATTTTGCAAGTGCATATTATAATGGACAAAAACCAGATCCTTCAGCCTGGCTTGTTCCGTCTTGTTTCTTCTTTGTGTGAGTAAGGCTTCTGCCAATGTCCTCTTTAGGTTATATTTTGAGGCACCATTACATGTCTGATTCAGGATCCGGATAGCAAGCCTTTGTAATTCCGGGCATTCCCGTCCATACTTTGACCACCAATTTGCTGCAAACCACAGTTTTTAAGAACTTCTAGGTTATAGACCTTTTTTGATTTGCAGATCTTGGAGAGAATGGAGGGCAGGAATAATTATTATTTGACTACTTTATTTTATGTTAGCCAAGTTATAATAATTATGTGTCTAGTTAAATCATTTATTTCTATGCACTTTTTCATCTTAAAGGGAAAAAGTTCAAACCAACCCTTGTGTTATTTCCAATCAATAATTTAAGCCTCTTTACTTAAAAAGTACTCCCTCCGGTCCCAAATGAAATTCACACTTTCCTTTTTGGGTAGGTACAAAATAAACTTCACACTTCTTCTCCCTTCCTTATTTGGCAAATTATCTACATCAAAACGGTGCAAAACATTGCCAAACAGTGTCACAACAGTTTACTCTACGGTAAAGTCAAATTTATTTCCTTAATTTGTGTAAAGTTAAAGTGTGAATTTCATTTGGGACCGAAGGGAGTATCATATCAGCCCCCTCCTTTCAAAAAATCGATCAATCGAGCCATTTAACCGGTTTTTGACTTCCTATAGCATATTTTTGAAAAAAAAAACTAAGATTTTTTTTAGTTCAGGAAAAAATTTAATAACAACTGTATAAGTTTAAGAATGTCAAAACATATATATTTTTTGTGATTTTGAAAATATTTGTATATTCTACATATTTTTAAATGTTTTTACTTTTAAATTTTTTATTTTTTTACATGGTCATTTTTTCGATATTTTTTCTATTTTTTATTTTCACGTTTTTTAAATTTTATATCTAATTTTGACATTTTACTATTTTTTATATATCCATTTCCATATTTTTTACAATTTATCTTTTAAAAAAGACATAGTATAAATTTCCTTATTTATTCTTTTTTTTCTTCAAAAAATGACCTCCTATAGCGGGTCAAGATGATTGACTTGATTATGTTTTCAAAGTAAACATGCTTGTGAATATTGTTTTTAGTATATGAACTCCAGTGATGATTTGAAATAGAAAGGCCTATTTGAACCTTTGCCCTAAACTAAATATCACCCCTACCCTTCGCCCCCCTGAATTTTCCTCCACTAAACAAGGGAAGAAAGAGATAGCAACTAATTTAATGCCATGGAGGGCAAATGTACTAAAATCCACTCATCAGTGGGGAGGGGTGGAAAGGTTTCTATTTATTGTATTAAGTAATTATAATTTATAAAAAATGCTTTAATACTCATTAAGTATTTTTGTTTACCTTCAAACCCCTCTAGTACCTTAATCCCTCTTAAGTCATAATGATACAAAAATGTCATGACGTAAAGTGATAATATCACATAAAGAGGGCAGTTCGTATCAGGCCGGCCTGACGGGAACCGCTGTCAGGGCGAGACCATTTGTGACCCTTCTCGGTGGATTTTTTTGATGATTTTTTTGAGCATGTACCCCATCAAGTCTAGTTTATTCATACCAAATTTCAGCTAAAAATTCAATCAGGAAAAAAATCAAATAGATTCTTTACAAAAACTGTGCTTTGTATATATAAACAACACAGTCTTTTTCAACAATTTATTTGACTACCTTCCCGAATGAATTTTTAACTGAAATTTGGTATGCATAAACTAGACTTGATGATGAACATGCTCAAAAACTTTCTTAAAAAAGTTTCACCAGGAAGGACCCCAAACTTCCTCGACTGGACGGCGAGTCCTGTCAGGCCGGCCTGATAGGATTGCTACTCATCACATAAATACCTCTTTTGCTACTTTATTACCGAGTATGATTTTTCAATCAACCAAAAGATATCATCATATAAAAGTCAGCAGCCAATTCAGAATATTCAATATTATTATTAGTCCATAAAATCAAACAAAACCTCAGTATAGATTAAAGAATAAAATTCAGAAAGCATCCCAACTCAACAGTGAGAGCAACAAGAAAAGTTCCAGCGAAACAGCCCAACACAGCAATCCTCGAACAATGAAACCTACAATGTTGAAGTATTACAAAACCATTTTTGCTGCGTTTGGTGCTAAATAGATATATTTAAGATTTGATGTGTGATACAAAACCTCACTAAAGACTAAAGACTGAGTTCTTTTGTTTGATTAGAAGTTGAACAAAACTTTTGTGACAAATGTGGAGTTCAAATATATTCATTTCCATGTTTGACTAGATGCTAACAGTTTGCAAGTAAGCTTTGTTATTTTCCACTCCATGTGGTGGAACCTGACCTACCAAAGTAACAAGTAGAAAAATCAAGGATGAAGCATTAACAAATGCTACCAAAAATTGTCTTTGGAGTTCAGATTGATTAAATCAATTTAGAAAGTTTAGTTTCACTAAACACACAAAACATTTATTTAACCAGAAGAAGAATATGAAAATCGAGAAAACAAACAAACAAACAAACAAACAAACAAACAAACAAACAAATACGGTTAAAAGTTCAAAACCTGGATCTATATTTTCCAGCTGAGCATCCTTACTGCCTACGCCAAACAGGCCTTTGCCCATCCTGTACTGCTCAATCTGCATAATGATCAAATCCTGAACGCCCGAATCTGCTGTCATACGGACAATGCAGCAACAAAGTCCACAAGAAACTTCGGCATCATCATAGAAATCGCTCGAATAGAAAATACTAGGGTTCAAAAAGTACCCCGCAGCATGGAGAGGGCTATGGAGGTGCTTATTCCATATCTCATCTATTGCTTCCCAGAATTTCACATATTGGGATTTCTTGTTCTTGAATTCTGACTTTATCGTCTCTTTAACCTGGTCTATAGTGTCATATATTGAACCAATTTGTGGCTTATTACTACTGTTTATCAGCTTTAAAACATTCACAAGTGGGATAGTGGCCTTTAAGACCATCAAAGCCCCTTCCCAAAAAGTCTTATCTCCCACCAAGTCAACAACCCTTTGTCCATCACCCGTTCTAGCACACTCTAAGGTTTTCCAAAGGGATGAGAGAAATATCCTTTGCAAGTTTCCCTTCTCCATGACCATGTTCTCTAAGGTGAGGAAAGGCACAATTGACCTTATCTTGGAAGGCTTCATTAGCTCATCAACACTTGGACAAAAATCTCTCAATAGTTTTAGGACATTGTCGTGACTGTAAACAAATTGTGTTATACTTTTTGCTTTACCCAATATTTCCTTTACGTCATTCATTGTCTCAAGTTTCCTCAACATGAGCTCTATGCAATGAGAAGCACTCACTGTCCAAAAAACTGTCTTACATTTCTCATTTACCCTTTTGACCACATCGTCAATGAAAGAAGATGTTGAGTATGAAACTATTTGAACCAGATTATCAACCCCGACCTCCTCAATGACCTTTCTCAGAAAAGCTTCCATTTTAACCACGTCATTTTCTATTGATGAAATATCAGCGCATTGATGAAAAATTGTGCCACTTGGACAATCCACTAAGATAATAAGAAGCTTCCGGCCTTTAGAATCCACCCATCCGTCTAACAGTATGCTGCACCCTGTGGCTGCCCATACGTTCTTGATGTGAGAAGTGTAATCTTGCATCTCTTTCACTGCTTCCTGTAGGATACGCCCCTTCAATTCATGATAAGTGGGGATCTCCACCGACCCGTTGATGGATTTTATCATCTTCTGGAAGCTAGGCGATTTTGCTGTTTCAAAGTCAACTCCTGTCTCGTAAAAGAACCTCCCGATGCATTTCTGGGCTTCGCTTAATGGTGGGTCCACTTGTCTGATGAGAAAGGCTGAATCTTTAACATTGTTTGCAAATGTAAAGTGCGTTTCTGGATTCGGGTTGGTAGGAGTTCCACTGCAGGGCGTCTGGATGCTTTCTTGTTTGACAATCTTGGAGGGACTGTTAACTCCTGTCCCGTAAAAGAACCTCCCGGTGCATTTCTGGGCTTCGTTTAATGGTGGGTCCACTTGTCTGATTGGAAAGGCTGACTCTTTAACATTGTTTGCAAATGTAAAGTGCGTTTCTGGATTCGGGTTGGTGGAAGTTCCACTGCAGTGTGTCTGGATGCTTTCTTGCTTTACAATCTTGGAGGGACTTTCACACCGGTTCCTCTTCAAAGGAAGGGTTGGAAGGTTGAGCTCCTCAAAATCCTTTATTACTTTCCCAAATCTCTTTTGCAGTAACTCGTTTCTTAGCATTTCCCTCACTCCTGCGGGGACTTCTGGACAAGGAATAACTTCTCCATGAATACCTCCCAAGTGGAATTTAAGACGAGTTAGGCTAGTAACCACTTTGCTGCAATACTTGCATTGATATTTCCGATGCTTTGGATCCACAAGGGTGCCAAAATCACAGGCTTCAGTAGACATTGTCACTGTTTGATTTTGTTATGTAAGCGACTAAAGATTGTAACACTGTTCTAACCAAGAATCTTTTGCTGGACTTCGTCAAGGCACCTATTTTAATACAACAGCAATCATATTCTGTCATAACTCAACATATAAAAATAAAAATAAAATATCAAAGATGATTAAAAAGAAAATCATCATCATCATTACCCCAGTGGCGCAAAGGCTCCCACCTACTGTGGATTAAAAAGAAAATATTGAAACATAATCTTGAAAATTAATAGAAAATATTTGCTTATTTTAGAGTTACAATTCTAAGTTGATTATTTTATATTTGGTGTTAAATTTGAGGAAGTGACTTGTAGATATATTTTGTTTGATATGAAAAATGTACTATGATTTCCATCATTTGCAATGGAACCAAAAACTCACTATTTTTTGGCTTGGGAATATGATGCAATAAAGCAAAATGACTTACTAAACTGTTTGCGCTTCTTTGTTATGAAGCAGTAGTCAGTAATGCAACTTTCAACGCGATTTTCACTATGGGTCATTCGGAAACAGTCTCTTTGTGCTTTAATACAGGGGTAAGATGTGTACATCCGACCTCCCTTACCACACCGTAGGTGGGAGTCTTTGCGGCATTCCGGTAATGATAATGATGATGATGATGAAAAATGTACTATGAAAATGAGGTAAAGGAGCAAACTATGCATTATAATTTTAAAAGTTTTCATAATTAAAGTTTAATATTTTTTGAATATTCGAATAAGAATCGAATATTCAAATAGGGATATTTACTAATATATGACTAAAACATTGACAATTTCAGAATATATGACTACTACTTTTGTACATCCCAAAATATGATTAAATATTAGTTTTATACATAAGAAACACTATCATATTGGGAAGAAAAAAGATAGAAGTCATATTTTGGGAAACACATTAAATTTTAGTCATATGTGGGTTAATTTTCTCTATTCAAATAAGATTCAAATATATTCGAATATACCAAACGAACCGAATACAAATATAAACATGATTCGAATTTTAAACGAATAAGAATATTCGATAATTATACGAATAAGAATAATATTATCAAATTTTCGGTTCGAGTCGTTTACGATCCTAATCATATCATCATACTCTAATGATATAAGTAACTATGAATTTAAGTCTTGACTTAGTTGTTCACATTTAATTGTTTGACTCCCTTACTTTGCTATTGCAAAGCATCACTTAGATGTGTTTGCTAAAAGTACATTTTCATGCCTCTTAATGGAGGGGTGGGGTGAAGTGTGATTGTGTGAAATCATGGACTCGTGTTGATGATGAAGATGGTTACTATGTCATTCAAATGCCACCACCCTTCCTTCAATCTGTATGGGGTTTCTACACACATTATGGAAAGAAGTTGATTCAATTACTTCCTAATAAATTTATTTTTCCTAAAGTGTGGTATTGAATGAAAATATGAAGTATTCAATTTAAAACAGTCACATACTTTTGTTATTAAGTTCCCTATTTGGAATAGTAATCCATCTCCAATATTCCTAACCCAATATATCAAAGTATCCAAACTCCTTAAATTTGAGTATAGATCTCATGTGAATATGATTTATTTAATGTCAAAACCAAGTCAAATGACCAGATCTAAAAGTTGAACTTTTAAATTTTCAACTAAGTTTCATTTGAGTAAAGTTTAGCTTAATTAAAAAGTTCAGTCAGAATTCCATCTCAGGCAACCACATCATCCATATAATGCCCAATATTTGTTTCAAGTGATTTTTAAAGAAGGAAAACTAATGTGGTTGCTGCTTCCAAACCAAATGGATACATAAAGCTGCTGTCCAAGCTGGTTTTATTAAAAGCTCACTTACTGTCAAGTTACTTCAACCATTGATTCTTTGATACTAGTGAAACTGGCATTGCACAATATGAGCTTTAGAAGGTGGGAGTGCTCACAAATTGCTTCATTTTTCCCTTGTTAACTACTAATTAAGTGATACTAGTGATGTCCCTTATAACTTTACCAACTTTTGTTTACCAACCTTACAGTAAAACGTCGCAAACTCTTAAGGGACAAATAGATACAATAAAAATTAATACAGCAGCAAATTTTAGCAAAGAGTATCAGTTGGACTCTCTAATGCGTTGCTGCAGCAGCAACTAACATTTGTAAATGAACTGAGAAAATGACCACTCATGCAGATTTTTGCTCTACTGTCTGTCTGACTCATAGAATTAGATATAAACATATAAAAATCTGAAGCTGGAAACATGATAATCAAGAAAATGAACTAAGATGAAAATGAACAAAGATTGAGGCGTAGATATACTTCTACAAAACATATACTTCGTATAAACCAGAAGATTGAACACAGGATGAAAATTAAATTTTTTTGAGAACTTGATAGAATAATGTTGACGGATGGGGTTTTTACCGAGTCACAGCTAAGCTTGAAGATACAAGGCGAGCGAGAAATTCAAGATAAATCTTTGCCCGTTTTACTCTTCATTAGCCATTATTGTTCTTATGCATGAGAGGATGATTGGAGAAGATGGTGACCAACTCTGATGCAGAGAGTAGAGATATACGGGGCGAGATTATACTGAGAGGGAAAAACGGCTGCAGAAACGTGTTTTGCCTGTCTCAATCTCGACACTACACTCTCAGTGGACCCTTAGAAAACGTTTGTTTTGAAAGATAACTTTTGACCACCTAGGCACCTGCTCATAATCGAGTATAATATCCGGTCTGGGGAAACAGGGAGTTAATTTTTGAGTTATTATTAGAATCGGACATACTACCTAGCTCCGTCCCATATTTATCTCCTTATTTGACTGGGCATATGTTTTAAGATAGTGGGAAATATGTGACAGAGAGTTGTGCAGAGAAAGAAATGTGTAAGAATGTGTAAGAATGATTGTGAACCACAAATTCTTTGACAAAAAAAGGAAAGAGGAGATAAATTTGGGACACACCGAAAAGGAAAGTATGAAGATTAATTCCGGGATGGAGGGAGTAATATATTTTCCTTGAGGGCTGATTGGCTGAGTCACATTAGTCCTATATCACAGATAGAACAGTTCGTATACCGTGGGATGATTCGTATACCGTGGGATCATCCCACTGTGAGCATCATGCTCCACCCCCAAAACAAACGATGTAATTTTGTACATTTTTTTCAAAATTCCGTGTGAACAGTACACTCGTGTACGATAATTGTTTTTTTCTTTTTGTCCCAGTAGTATGAATGATGTAACTCACGTGTAAAGAAATATAACTCACGTTGATAAAAAATGTATCAGCAGACAAGTCTAAATATAACTTGTCTAATACAGATTATAAGAAATAAAACATTGATTTCAATGAAAATAAGCAATCTAATTGCTCAATTACTTTACGTAAATAGTGAATATGTTTTGTTTTTGATATTAAGACCATAAATAATGTTTTTTTCTTAAAATCATTTATTTTGCCAAAAACTCATTTTTTCGCCAAAAAAAATCATTTTTTTGAAAAAAAAGTGATTTTTTTGTTTCAATGGCAGGGGATTACTTAAAAAGTGATTAATATCAAGGCCATAAAAATATTTTTTAAAAACTCATTTTTTTGCCTAAGAAATCATTTTTTGCATTTTTTTGCATAAAACTGGTTCTTTTGTTTGAATAGCAGGGTTTTATGATGTGATGTAACTCATGTTACAGAAAATATAACTCGCGTTGATGGAAAATCTAAGTTGGGTGTATGCAAATTGCAAAATATAACTTGGTAAGGCAAGTCTAAATGTAACTTGCATATAAGAAGATGTAACACACACATAAAAAGATGTAACTCGCGCATAAGAAGATTTAAATTCATATACTATCAAATGTAAAGATTGAAAACAAGGAGTCTAATTGCTCAAATTAATTTATGTAAATAGTTAATATGTTTTGTTTTTAGTATTAAGGTCATAAAAATGTTTCAAAGGAAAATATTTTATGCCAAAAAAATCAATTTTTTTCTCAAAAAAAATCATTTTTTTGCCAAAAAAATCATTTTTTTGCCAAAAAAATCGTTTTTGTTTGCACAAAATTGATTTTTTTTGTTTCAATAGTTGAGGTTTTTTTGTGATGTAAAACGTGTTATGAAAAAGTGTAACTCGCGTTGATGGAATTGAAGATCTAACTTAGATGTATGCAAAATGTAACTTGTTGAGGCAAGTCCAAATGTAACTCGCGCATAGGAAGATGTAACTCATGCACAAGAAGACGTAATTCGCTCATAAGAAGATGTAACTCCATATACTATCAAGTATCAAATGTAATTCCAGAAATTATCTATATACATATATAACTCAACATATGAAAAATGTAATATCATTTCATGTTTTATGAAATTTAAATCGAAATAAACAAATTTAATGTCTTGAAAACACTAAAAACATATCAAAGAGATATGAAATATATATATTTTTTGCAAACAGATAAGAAATATACTATAGAAAAGAATTTATGAATATGAAATATAAAGAATATTACAAAAAAAATCTATTGTAATTTCAGTTAAAGAGAAAGAAGTAGAAAAAATGTATGATTATGAAATACCATATACTTATTTATGTGGATTAATAATTTTTAAAAAAAAAATATGTAAAGAAAAAAATGTAAATTCAATTGTAATTTAATTAGTTAAAGATAAAGATAAGTAAAATCACAAATAAATTTTTAGTATTTTGATGTAAAAGAGAAAACAATTGAAGAAAATAGAAAAAAATAAAGAGAGAAAGCACTAATCTAAAGGAAAAAGAAAGAAAGCTTCCGTAGTATTGGATTGCACTGAGTTTGGGGAGGAAAAAAAGGGCACCGTATTAGGACTTACATACCATGCACATGGTATGTCGGTTGCACGGTATAATTTGCGCAGGTAGAGCGTATACGGTTCAACCGGTTGGTACCGTACACACAGTACAATCGGGTATTTTATGTTAAAACAAATGAGAATACTATTTTTAAAAAAAATAGTACTAGTATTAAATCACCGTGTAACACAATTGAGCATTATAAGCATGTGATTGAGTATAATGATCTACACTTATTATATATGCTACAAATTAACTTATACTAGGTTAGTTTACGCTTAAAATTTTAACCGTACCACATATATATTTTAATAATAATATAGTTAAAATTTGGTCTGCCTTGATAACCATGGTTAGTTTATATTTTTTACATGTTTATAGAATACAAATTATGAAATTTGTTAAAAAAAAATGAGGTCAACGTTTTCCAACTAATTCATATATGAACAGTCAACTTAATGAAGCAATAGAAAATATGCGTACTAGTACAATGAGAGTGAACTATTTCACAAAATATCTCCAAAGTTACATCAAAACCGACAATAGACTTTTACCACCTTAATTGAAATTAAATAAAAATATGGTATTAATAATGATAAGAAATATCATTATCAGTACTCTTGCTATTTTAAAACTAATAAAATAGTCATTTTTAAAATATTAACACTAAAAATAAATGAATGAATGTATATGTGTGTGCTTGCATGTACTTACATATACTATAAGTAAGAGTGGTTGTAGCTATATAACATAAAAGTAAGTACTCTGTATAGTTGAATTAAATATATATACTCTTAAATTCGTATCCTTAAAAAACATATTACGTCTTAACAGCTAATTGCAAATATCTAAACTACCAAACATTCAGTAATTTGGCTTGTTTCTTGAAATTTAAGTTTCCAAAACAACTAAAACATTGATACAGACAACTAATATTTGTGTGCTCATATTGGTTTCTACGTCAAAGTACACTTACCAGTTCACAAACGAATGTGTGTGGGAGCGCAAACCAATGTCTTGTTCACATTTAGAGTTATAATTCTCAATTGATTTATTTATATTGACCTTAAATTCGAAAAAGTGACTCGTAGATATTCTCTCCGTCCTTTAAAACTTTGTCAAGTTTGACTGACACAGAGATTAATAAAGTGAAAACTATGTGATCGAGAGTTGTGCAGAGGAGAGAAAATTAACTGGAACCACATATTCTTTACTTAAATGGGAAAGTGGCAAAGTTAATGGGACATCCAAAAAAAGAAATTTGGCAAAATTTTAAGGAACGGAGGGAGTATAATTTATTTGATATGAAAAATATACTATTAAAATGAGGTAAAAGGGGAAAAGTATACATTATAATTTTAATAATTTTCATAATTAAAGTAAATGTTTTTCGAATATTCGAATAAGATTCTAATATTCAAATAAGATTCAAATATATTTGAATACACCAAACGAATCGAATATAAATATAAATATGATTCAAATATAAAACAAATAGGAATATTCGGTAATTATATGAATACCTATAATATTATTATATACACAACAACAAAATATAGCTTTTGTAGCATACGCAAAATGTTGCAATAGGTGTAAAAAGTGTCGCAATATATCAAATGTGGCATTTTTAGCATGCTGCATCCGACTGGTGTTACAATAGATGTATTGTAGCATTTTTATCATCTTGTTGTAACATTTTTTGGTACAATAATGTTACAATAGATACTATATTGTAGCAATTTATGTGATGCTACAAAATAGATGCTGCAATAAACACTTTTTATGCTAGTGATATTCTGTTCGATTCAATTCATTTACAACCCTATTATCAGCATAGCCTAGTGATCTAAGTAATTATGAATTTAAGTGTTGGATCAGTTGTTCACATTTAATTGTTTGTTTGATTCTCATACTTTGCTATTGCGAAGCATCACTTAGATGTGTTTGCTAAAATAACATTTGCATGTCTCTTTGCAGGGGTGGGGTGAAGTGTGATTGTATGAAATCATGATGGAAAGAAGTTATTCAATTACTTCCTAATAAATTTATTTTTCCTAAAATATGCTATTGAATGAAAATATGAAGTATTCAATTTAAAACACTTGCATACGTTGTTATTAAGTTCCCTGTTTGGAGTAGTAATCCATCTCCAATATTCCTAACATAATACTTCATCCGTTCTTTATTAAGTGTCTCCTTAGGCCTTGTTTGGTTCAAAGGAGGGGAGGGGAGGGAAGGGGAGAGTCAAGGAGGGAAGGTAAGGGAAGGGAAGGGGAAGGATTGAAGGAAGGATTTTGATAAAAATTTGTGTTTGGTTGGAGGAAATAGGAGGAAAGGTTTAATGAAAATATTTTCGCAAATTACTTTTATTTGATAGCTTACTTACAAAAATAGATACATGTCTAACTATTGTGAATATTACTACTATGGTCATGAGTCATAATTTTATTTTATTTGATTTTTTACTTTTTTAATTTTATAATTTTTCATTTTTGAGTTTGGATTTTTTTATTTTTTATTTTTATTTTTTAAATTTTTTAATTTTTAATTTATAATTTTTAAATTTTTTAATTTTTTAAATTTTAAATTTTTTAATTTTTTAATCTTTAAATTTTTTAATTTTTATATTTTAAAAATTTTTAATTTTTCAAAACTTTTTGTTTTTTACCTTTTTATATTATAACGTTTTATTCATTCACATAGGAGATGGATAGTTTGTAGTTATCGACATGTTTCCTCCGAAATACCCCAATTTGGGGGGTTTAGAATGGGAGGAAGTGAAGGATTTTGATAACCTTCCACTTTCCTCCCCTTCCTCCCTATTTCCTTCAACCAAACACACACAAATCCCTCACTTTCCTCCCCTCCCCTCCGGAACCCTCCAACCAAACAGGTCTTAGGCTTTGACAGGGTTTTAAGGGGAAAATAATAGAGGTAATGTAAAATGTGTAGTTATTTGTGTTTAAATGATAAATTAGAAAAGAGAAAGGAGTAAGGGTAATCAAAATGGAGGTAAAAATGTATTTTGATTGAAAAAACTTTACAAAAAAGGAAAGAGGGATAAATAATTAAAAACGTCCCAAAATGGAATACTAGACCGTTAATAAGGAGCATAGGGAGTATAACATAGTATCCAAACTCTTTAAATTTGAGTATAGATCTAAAAGTTGAACTTATAACTTTTCAACTAAGTTTAATTTGAGTATAAAGTTTAGCTTAATTAAAAAGTTCAGTCAGAATTCCATCTCAGGCAACCATATCATCCATATAATGCATAAAATCTGTTTCAAGTGATTTCTAAAGAGGGAAACTAATATGGTTGCTACTTTCAAACCAAACGGATACACAAAGGGGTAATTCTCTAACAAAATAGGAGTACATAGTTCCGTGTGAATACATAGGAGTAAAAAGAAATGAATGGACAACACTACCCTTAATGAAAGGTTTAACTTATTTATTTAAAATAAAGAATAGAATTGTT